ACACGGGTGACAGCATTAGTTGGCTGTTGATTCTCAGATATGATATAGGGTATGGAAGGGAAAGATTAGCTGGTGGTGATAGGAAGTGATATCTACTGATAAGATTCGACTGAGAGTGAAGGGGATTCTCACCACATTCATAACGCTGATGAAAGCATCAGTTAGGTATTCATTCCAAGAGATGATATAGGGTATGGGACATGATTATCATTGGTGGGTGACACGAAGTGTCAGCACCTGATAAGATTCGATAACAGCCATTAGAAAGTTATGGTCGTACACCGCAGATCACAGCGTCAGTGAGGCGTTGGTTCTAGCAGGTGATATAGAAGGGGAGATGTGGACATCAGCCGTGGGTGGCTGGAAGAGATAACTGCCGATAGGGTGAGGCTGATAAGGAAAGTTGCAGTCGTCGTCGCTGTTCAAGGTGGTTCACGCTACCAAAACATAGAGATTTAGTGATGAGGACATTGATGACGGGTGACAGGTAATCTTATCAATCGATAAAAACCGATAAGATACCATCTGCGCTACATTTTGATCACTTCTTACCGCTATAATGCCGAGTATTAGAGGCTCAGTGGGTGAACTCATTTCTTCGATGTCAACGAAATGGTCACCGAGGTGTTTGCTACTAGATACTTGAAATGCTGTCGAGCGGGGGGGGGGGGTCAACAATTGGGAATGGTGACGTAACTCTACAGTTAAGCCCCTTCCAGTAAGGAATGATCCAGACTACTTCCTTATCCATTTCTAATGTTGCTCTAAGCGAATCAAGGCCGGGCCCTTGAAGCGGAAGAAGAAGCCCGACGAAGAAGCAACCCGACGGCAGAGAAACGCCGCCGGGCGATCCGACTGGTTCTTCAATACAAACCAATACATATGTAGTTTTTTTGCCTATTCGTCAATTCCCCCATTTCCACGAATCATCGGGGGTTTGACCCTCTATATCGAAGACTCTTTTCCTTTCGGGGAGTATCAGCGGGCCTAATGTCTCGTACTCGTCTGCTATGACATCAAGGTTCAGTGTGGGGTGGGCGGGGGGGGCCAACGGTGCTGACGTGGGCCCATTACGCTACAGCCTTTCACTGCCGGGAAGGGGCGCGTCAGCGGGATGCGTCCGCCGCGGCACGGAACCCGTTCTCCACGCAGTTATTGAAGCGTTCCAGCGACACCAGTTGGTGGAAAACGACTCACGAACGAACGATATTGCACAATCTTGTCGCTCGCTCTCTTCAACAAGCGGTGGAAAACACGTTTGGCGCCACACCAAACCCGTCCTGCCTGACATGCCTCTTCATCCACAGCGAATAAGACTCTATTGCGAGCAACATCTCCAGATGATAAGGCAGTCGAGTAAACCTAGCAATAAAGAGGAATGTAGAAATAAAAACTTACAAAGTATCCAACAGCAGCTCCACCGAGCACAAAACCAGCCGCATATAGCATGTGTTTAGACGAATGATTGCAAGTCCCAGTCTGACATCCTTCAAATGATAAAAAGAAATTGATAAGTGAGAATCATCGAGATATCATCAGTTCACTAACCCATGGTTGTAGAAGTCGTAGGCACAACTGGACCTGAAGCAGACGCCTTGAATGTCTTCTGATTCATCAGAGAAAAACCAGAATGCGTCATTACAGGGGAAGGGTTGAACACAGTGGGGTAAATTTATTCACAAGCAACTACCAGTCAAAGAGGCGTTACATCGATAGCAAATCAGGTCATTAAGAATGATAAGATTGATGATAAGACTATTACAAAAACATGTTCCAGCATGATAAGTATGCGGTTCCCTTATGGTTGAAAAGGAAAAGCTGAGAAGTCATCAATTGCAAATAGCAGTCTTTGAACTAAACACTTTCTACGTTCGAACTTTGGTTCTAGTCATCTGTTAGTAAACTGTGCTCTATCGAAAACTGGAAATAAATGCAGTAATCAAATCGATGCGCAGCAGGGATTCGCAAGAATTTGAACAACAACCTTCTTACATGATTTCTGATCAACCTGGAAGAGAAACAGTGACCACAGCGCGTTAAATAGACGAAGTTCCATTCACTCTTACCTTCAATGGCGCTAGCAAGAATGCATTTATACTCTGCGCCAGCGTTCGGCAGCGTTTTGAGCGACGAGGGAAGTATAGGTATCGATCTAAAGTACGTCAACGAGCGGCAGTTTTGAGCGACTGCCCCGAAAAGCTCAAGACTGCGCGCGAAAACGCTATATGCTGGGGTACGCTCAAAACGCTAGAGCATTACTTATACTTTCCTAGTCGTTCAACAAGCTGGGAGACGGGCAAAAGAATCGTAAATTGCCGCTTCGTCGCGCGCAGCAATGGACGCGACGTTCTCTAGTTTGCACTATTCTTTCGACTCGAGCATCGGATCTAATGTAGACAAGGACACTGTAGGCAATCACGTCTATTTTTGATCATAAATCGTCAATTATCGACCAACACCAGCTAAAATCGTCTAATTAGCGGACGCGACATCGCACGCGACGCCAACTTACACGACGAATTGCGATTCTCTCGCGACATACCCCAACAAGCCCGATACGCTGACGCAAAGCATGAAGCAGCCTATGTTATGAAATCGCTGAACAAGTCACAAAATTGCAAATAGCAGCAGTCTTTGAACTAAACACACTTTCTACGTTCGAACTTTGGTTCTAGTCATCTGTTAGTAAACTGTGCTCTATCGAAAACTGGAAATAAATGCAGTAATCAAATCGATGCGCAGCAGGGATTCGCAAGAATTTGAATAACAACAACCTTCTTACAT